ATATAATACCTCCCCCGGCCATGGCAGCCCCCCCAGCCCCCGCGGTGTCCCCCGGCCCCCCGGGCGGGCTGGTGGCGGTGGCGCAGGTGACGTGCACGGCGGACAAGGAGCACAACTGGCGGCAGTGCTCGGCGCTGGTGCGGCGCGCGGCGGCCGCGGGGGCCCGCGCCGTGTTCCTGCCCGAGGCCTTCGACTTCATCGGGGACAGTCCCCAGCACAGCCTGGCGCTGGCAGAGCCACTGCACGGGGACACCGTGGGGCGCTACCGCCAGCTGGCCAGGTACGGGCACCGGGTGGCACCGGGTGGCACCAGGGATGGCACTGTGTGGCACCAGGGAATGGCACTGTGTGGCACCAGGGATGTCACCGCGTGTCACCAGGGGATGGCACTGTGTGGCACCAGGGAATGTGAGTGTGTGGCACCAGGGATGTCACCATGTGGCACCAGGGATGTCACTGTGCGGCACCAGGGATGTCACCGTGCGGCACCAGGGGATGTGAGCACGTGTACCCAGGGAATGTCACTGTGTGTCACCAGGCAATGTGATTCTGTGTCCCTTGGGAATGTCAGTGTGTGTCCCCAGGTCCTGTCACTGTGTGTCCCCAGGGAATGTCACTGCGTGTCCCCAGGGAATGTCACTGCATGTCCCCAGGCCGTGTCCCTCTGTGTCCCCAGGCCATGTCATTGCGTGTCCCTCTGTGTCCCCAGGCCATGTCACTGCATGTCCCCAGGCCGTGTCCCTCTGTGTCCCCAGGGAATGTGACGTGTGGCTCTCCCTCGGTGGCTTCCACGAGCGTGGCGAGGACTGGGACAGCACCGGCCGGATCTACAACTGTCACCTGCTGCTGGACAACTCGGGTGGGACACGGCCTTCCTGAGCCCCGTGCCACCCCCGTGTCCCCCAGATCCCCAGTCCCTGTGTCCCCGACATTCCCAACCCTTGGATGTCCCTGTGTCCCCATGTCCCCACCACTCCCATCCCCTTTGGCTGTCCCCAGGTGTGGTGGTGGCCGCCTACCTGCACCATTCCCACCCCCTGGATGTCCCCACGGAATGTCACTGCGTGTCCCCAGGGAATGTCACTGCATGTCCCCAGGCCGTGTCCCTCTGTGTCCCCAGGCCATGTCACTGCATGTCCCCAGGCCGTGTCCCTCTGTGTCCCCAGGGAATGTGACGTGTGGCTCTCCCTCGGTGGCTTCCACGAGCGTGGCGAGGACTGGGACAGCACCGGCCGGATCTACAACTGTCACCTGCTGCTGGACAACTCGGGTGGGACACGGCCTTCCTGAGCCCCGTGCCACCCCCGTGTCCCCCAGATCCCCAGTCCCTGTGTCCCCGACATTCCCAACCCTTGGATGTCCCTGTGTCCCCATGTCCCCACCACTCCCATCCCCTTTGGCTGTCCCCAGGTGTGGTGGTGGCCGCCTACCTGCACCATTCCCACCCCCTGGATGTCCCCACTGTCCCTGCTGTCCCTGACTGAACCCAGTGTCCCCAAGCCCCATGGTGGCTGTCCCCAACCCCTGCTGTGGCTGTCCCCAGCCCTGGTGGTGGCTGTCCCCACTGTCCCCAGCCCTGGTGGTGGCTGTCCCCACTGTCCCCAGCCCTGGTGGTGGCTGTCCCCAGGCGCACTGGTGGCCATGTACCTGCACCATTCCCAATCCCCATGGCTGTCCCTGACTGAACCCAGTGTCCCCAACCCCCGTGGCTGTCCCCAGTGTCCCCAACCCCGTGGTGGCTGTCCCCAGTGTCCCCAGCCGCGGCGGTGGCTGTCCCCAGTGTCCCCAGCCGCGGCGGTGGCTGTCCCCAGTGTCCCCAACCCCGCAGTGGCTGTTCCCCAGTGTCCCCAGCCGCGGCGGTGGCTGTCCCCAGTGTCCCCAACCCCGCAGTGGCTGTCCCCAGTGTCCCCAACCCCCATGGCTGTCCCCAGTGTCCCCAACCCCCGTGGTGGCTGTCCCCAGTGTCCCCAACCCCTCTGTGTCCCCAGGCCATGTCACTGCATGTCCCCAGGCTGTGTCCCTCTGTGTCCCCAGGGAATGTGACGTGTGGCTCTCCCTCGGTGGCTTCCACGAGCGTGGCGAGGACTGGGACAGCACCGGCCGGATCTACAACTGTCACCTGCTGCTGGACAACTCGGGTGGGACACGGCCTTCCTGAGCCCCGTGCCACCCCCGTGTCCCCC